GTCTACAAGATTAAATTGTGTCTTAATCTCTTTTGAGATATTAAAAAGAGAAACAAAGCAAGCAGAGAGGCATGGGGACCTCATACCACCAAGAAACAAGAGCCAGGAGAATAGCACGTCCTTTGGACATAGGGTCCCTTTGCTGAGAAGCTCCTCAACCAGGGAAGATTGATGATAAGGACCTTTCCCCAGAGCCCACAGAAAGAGAAAGCCTTCCCCTAGAGCTGGCACCCTAAATTCAGACTTCTAGACTGCTAGACTGTGAGAGGTAGAACTGCAGCAAGTGGGGGCAGAACTCTGGGGTTTTATATAATCACTGTGCTTTGGTCTATTGCAGTTCTTGTTTTGTTTTTTTTGCGGGGGAGGGATCCTCAATTTTTTCCTTCTTTAACCATTGGGGCCCCTTGGTGTTAGTCCTGTGTTCATCTGGCTCAACCCATTAGTCTCTTTGTTAAAGCCATCACTTGTATTTCTCTTATAGCAGCACCAGATAACTAAGACAGGAGGCTTGCAGTTTTTCCTATTACAGACAATACTGCAGTGAACTTTCTGACTATGCACCATGCAAGAATAAAAAGGAAGGGTACATTTTAAATTTTAATAATGACAAGTCACCCTCCAGAAATGCTGTTCTTACATTCCCACCAACAGTATGGGAGGAAATCCTCCCCTCCCTGCTCCATAGCCTTGCCAGCACCAGTTAAAACCAGCCTTTATTTATCACTAATCAGATCAGTAAATCGTGTTTCTCTTATTGCTAATGAGACTGAGCATCTTGTCATTGATTCCTTGGCCAGTTGTATGTTTTCTTTTAATTCTGTGAACTTACATTCTTCTGCCTATTTACCTAGTGAGTTGTTTATCTTTTTGATTCATAAGCCCACTTTATATTCAGGACATTAATTCTTTGTCCATTTATATCTCTTGTGAATAGTGACTCCTGATCTGTATCATGTCTTAGTAACTTTATTTTGTCCTTTGCCACAGAAAAATATTAAAGATTGTGTAGTCAGATATGTCAGTGTTTTCTTTCGTGACTTCTTGGATTTTGTGGCTGGCTTGTTAGAAAAACTTTTTCCCATCCTAAACTTAAGAAAAAAAAGTATACTTTTTTACTTTTCTTTGTATTGGCTTTTATAGTAGATTCTTAATCCATCTGAAAATCCATTTTGAACTAGGGGCTGCTGAGTTCTTAAAATGAAGAAACTAGGGAAGGCAAAGATTTAGATTTAGGTTAACAGCCCATGATGCTTTTTAGAGAGATGTTGATCAGTTCTAATAACTTTTATATAGTTTTTCAGCCATAAATATTCTGAGGTAAACATTCAGACCTTGTTTATTTGTTTTGTCTAGTTTGGTTTTATTTTGATTTATGTGGAAGGAAGAGGGATTTCTGTGATCTCTAGTTTGGAATTAGAAGAGCAAGTTTTAGACATACCCAGGTTGCCCTAAAATGTCTATATTAAAGGAAGTCAGAAGAAGCTCTGTGTTTTGGGGATTATCATTTGTTTAAATTCATTAAAACCAGTTCCTTATTCCTATCCCTAGTTACCTATTTGCTTCCACTTGGCAGTTGAAACAATTTCCTGTAGCTTTTCTTCATTAAATTAGCTGATGCAGACTTTGAAAGTCTCCCACTGCTTTTGCTTATCAAAATGACCTTGTCAGTTTCTAATATGAATTCATTTTAAGTTTATTGCAGATACTCATCTAAAATTGGAAACTAAACCTTATTATAATATGCAATATATAATGATGTATCTGTACCAAAAAGAAGTACTGGGAATACTATTAAGAATTACATCTAGTTAGTATGGAGGCTTCCAGAAGTGGATCTGAAGCAGAGGCATTCAGAAATCCCCAGTCCCCAAGAGGTAGAACTGCAGCAAGTGGGGGCAGAACTCTGGAGTTTTATATAATCACTCTGCTTCAGTCTATTGCATTTCTTGTTTTATTTTTTTTTTTTTTTGTGGGTGAGGGGTCCTCAATTTTTTTCCTTATTTAACTATTGGGGCCCCTTGGTGTTAGTCCTGTGTTCATTTGACTCAACCAATTAGTCTTTGATGCCTCTCTGCTTTCTGAGTTAAATTTTACATTCTTGCCTCAGAACAGGAATCAGCTATTCATCTAAGAAACTCTGGTTACTTTTGGTAGGAAGGTATTTAGAGACCACAATCTGGGGATTAACTTGTTCATTGCTGTTGGGTTTCCGTTACTTCATGGCCTTTTCAGTGACTAGTAGTAGGAAATACGTATTTAATGAAAAAAAAGTCACAAGATAATACTCTTATTTCCAATTCAAATTTAACATTACAGTATTTCTACCTCTTTGGTTTTATAGTTACATCTTTTCTCTTACACTGAAAATCTTGGTTCCTAAACCACATTAATATAATCACTTATTTGCATTATCTTTCAATATATGTAAAATATTTCCAAGAGAGCAATACCAATATTATTATTAACAACTATAAACTACTTAATGAAGTTTAAGATTTCTTTTTCTGGGAAGAGGTCCCAAATAAGTAAAGCATTACTCAAGAAGAAGAACAAAGTGGGAGACCTTACACTACCTAATTTTAGAACCTATTATACCACCACAGTAGTCGAAACAGCCTGGTACTGGTACAACAACAGATTCATAGACCAGTGGAACAGAATTGAGAATCCAGACATAAATTCATCTACCTGTGAGCAACTGATATTTGACAAAGGCCCAAAGTCTATTAATTGGGGAAAAGACAGTGTCTTTAACAAATGGTGCTGGCATAACTGGATATCCATCTGCAAAAAACTGAAACAAGACCCATACCTCACACCACGCAGAGATACTAACTCAAATTGGATCAAAGACTTAAATACAAAATGGAAAATGATAAAGATCATGGAAGAAAAAGTAGGGACAACGCTAGGAGCCCTGATACATGGCATAAACACAATATGAACCATAAGTAACAATGCACAAGCACCAGAAGAGAGACTAGATAAATGGGAGCTCCTAAAAATCAAACACGTATGCTCATCAAAAGACTTCACCAAAAGAGTAAAAAGGCAACCTACAGACTAGGAAAAAATTTTTGGCTACGACAAATCCGATCAGCGTCTAATCTCTAAAATCTACAAG